GTCGTTACATCCAGATGATTATTTTGGACTTGGGCGTATGCCCGGATTTGCATTTAGATGTTTCTAGAAGGTTTTGTCTATAATTGGCGAAAGTTGGCAATTGAAGTTTTAGAAAATTCATAGGTTTGACTAGGAGTTGACTTTGATGTTATCAAGTTCGGATTGTTGTTCCAGGGGTTGGAATAGGTTCTTTATGTCATTTAGAACTTTTGTGCAAAATTTGAGGTGATTCCGAGTTGTTTAGACGTATTCGGCGTAAGTTTGGAATTTAAAAATTGGAAATAGTTCATTAAGCTTGACTTGAGGTGCGATTCATGGTTTTGATATTGTTATGTGGGATTTAAGGCCTCGAGCAGGTCCGTATTATATTTTTGGACTTATTGGTATGTTCGGACAGGATCCCGAGGGGCTCAGGCGAGTTTCATATAGGTGCTTATTTTTTATGTTTCGACAGCGTTTCTTCAAGAATTAAAAAACCACATTTAGCAAATGAGCTCCAAATTCAATTTTGATTAAATTATTATATGGCAGAATAGCCTAATAAATATTTCTACTTATCTCGCTTTGTCATCCGGGTCCCTATACTTTATGAAGTTTCATCTAGACACTTGTAGTTTTTAAAATACATTATTTTAAACCCTTCCGGCCTCGCGTGTTCTCTCAGATTTTAAATGACACATCATTATTTTTTAATTTAATTTCAAAAATTTAATTTTTTCCTTTTTTCACTCCTCCCCACCCTTGACCACTTATCTCTATTTTTTAGAACAGAAATAACACCACGATTTACCGCCTTTACCGGCGGCAGCACCACGGTGGACAACTAAAACCCACCATTTTCCAACTTTTCATTGTCCGTCTCCCTTTCAGAAAATTTTACCACTGAAACTCCTCATCATTGGACAGATTTCAGTCCAAATTTTTTCAGAAATAGTGGTCGAAAGAGTGCAGGTGCCTTCGTAATAGACATTCAAGAGGCATGATATAGCCGATAAAAAGGAATCCGTAGGCCCACATTCTACATTGTACACCTCAAAAACATTCAATAGACATAGATCTAATTCATCTAAAAAACATTAATGTGGTTGCCCTTCAAAAAAGATTTACTATTTTTTTCTCAAATATTGACTGAAGGTTTGTGAAAATGGGAGTCCGGGAATTACGTGAGAAAGAGAAAAGAAAAATGAAGGGGGGGAATAACAAGAAAGGATAAGAAAGAGAAAAGAAAAATGGAGGAGGGGTGGGAAAGAACGGGAAAGGGGAAGGGAAGTAAGAGAAAGAGAAATGGGGGAGGGGATGGGGGAAAGAAGAAAGAACAGAGATTTTTATTTTTTCTTATATTATTCTTTTATTCTTTTACTTTTACTTATTATTTTTATTTTTTCTTCTTATTTTAATCATGTTTTGTTTAACTTTTTTATACTTACTCTCGTTATACGCGTGATATTCACGTATTTTGTCCAACTCAGTCATGAAGTTGCCACATATGCTTGGTCAACGGTCAGAGAGGTTTAAAATAATGTGTTTTGAAAACTACAAGTGTCTGGATGAAACTTCGTAGAGTATCGGAACCGGGATGACAAAGCAGGACAAGTAAAAGTGTTATTAGGCTATTCTGCCTTATTATATCTGTATCATAATTACGGAGCCATATTAGAAAATAATTGTCGAATTTGAACATTGTATGAGGGAGTTATGCTCATTTTAATATCGGAGAAGAAAGCTGGTACTGGTGCTTCGCAGATGCGAAGTTGGGTCCGCATCTGCAACCCCACAGATACGAAAAACGGTCCACAAAAAGCGGAAATGACAGTTGGAAAACCGCAGGTGCGGATTTTTGGGCGCAAAAGCGAAAATCCCTGTGTATAAAAAATCAGACAGCGTTCTTTTGATATTTTGAGAATATCTTGAGTTCTAGAGTTCTGATCGAGGTGATTTTCTCGTCTTTTCATGGAGGTCAGTATCTAAACTCAATTTGTCTTTTTAACATGATGACAGTAGTTTATTTGTGAATTAATCCATGTTTTGATCGGAGTATTGGGAGGTTTTTATCAAAAAAAATTCTAAAGTGAATAATTGAGAATCGATTCGGAGTCGAAATTGGATAAAATTAGTATGGTCGGAATCGTATTCAAATGCATTATCGGAATTTGTATGTTTTGTCAGGTTCTGAGGTATGGGCCCGGGTTGACTTTGAGTATTTGATTAAAGATTCGGCCTTTATTGCTTGGGTTTGTTTTTAATGGTATTATTTGATATTTTTAGTTGCTTTTGACTAGTTTTGAGCCGTTTGGAGGTTGATTCAAGTAGGATGGTATTTTTAAAGTGTTATTTGGCTTATTCGGTATTTGATTTGGCTTGTTTGAATTAAATAACATATTTAAACTCGGATTTGAGGGTAATTAACCCTGAGAATTATGTTATATGAGATGTGTTGGGGTGACGCACATGCTAGGTGACGGGTGTACGTGCGTGCACCGGGATGTTCACGATCTGAGTGGACGCTAGACTATTACCAAACTTGATTTACAATCATGCTTTATTATATCCGTGTTTTCTTTATTCACTTGATTATTTGAGCTATGATTCATGTTAAAAATCATGTTTAGGCTATATGCTTATTTGGTTGAGACTTAATGGGGCTATTCTTGTTGTTTTGAGTTGTACGTTGTAATTGCAGTTATTGACTCAATCATGATTCCTCATTTGCATGTCATGTCTCAATCTCTTACATTAATTATTTGCTACATCATACATGTTATTTGTCTTCCATATGTGATACTGTTTGGGCTGAGTTCTATGAGTTTGTAGGCCCTTGAGACTTGAGAGGTTTGTTGACTGATGTGAGCCGTAGAGCCGTGTTATGAGTGTTATATGAATCGGGTTGCATGCCGCAACAGGACTTATTCGCTATTGAGTGATATATGGATCGGGTTGCATACCATAACAAGTTTTATTGGCTATTGAGTGATATATGGAACGGGTTGCACGCCTCAATATGCCTTATTGGCTATTGATTATTATTTGGATCGAGTTGCACGTTGAAACTTGCCATATTGGCTTTTGATTAGTGCTTGGGCAGGATCCGTCCCTCCAAAGTCTGACATGCCAGTAGTGAGCGTAGGCACAGTGATATATACACGTACTTTGGTGAGGGGCTTTTTAGCCAGACACTCGTACAATGCTAAGTGATTGTGTATGTGATGGTGAGGGGCATTTGAGCCAGGCACCTTGAGTATGCTAAGAGTGAGTGTACCCGATGATTTCACTGGGATATAATTTACTTGACATATATATTGACATGTAGGCACAGAGACGTAATTTTTCATCATGCTACTAGTAAATGAAAATTCTTATTTGATGTTGGAAAATTGGAGAAACATAGTTCTTTTGATAAACTCATGTTTAGTTGATTTTCAGTGTTAAGATTTGGATTTTGATTGTTATAGTTGAAAAGCATGTCTAATTTTCTGTAACTGTGAGCGAGCTGAACATAATATCTCTTGAGTTATTCCTTGATGTCCTCATTATATTATTATGAGTTGTTATTGGCTATTGATGTCGGGCATTGACCTTCTTCCGAGCTCGTCGTTGCTTTCAACCCGAGGTTAGGTTTGTTACTTATTGAGTATATGGGTCGGTTGTACTCACACCACACTTTTGCACATTACGTGCAGATCTTGGAGTTGATGGTGTTGTGTATGGCAGAAGCTGACGTTAAAGATGTACCTGCTTTCTGGATATAACTACCACTTGTCCTCGGTAGTTTCAGATTTTAAATTCTGTTTATGTATATTCCAAACGGATGTTGTATTTATTTTCATACCAGCTTTGTAAATCTAAGTCTTAGTAGCTCATGACTTGTACTACCAATCCGTGGGAGTTTGTATAGAAGTTCAGTTATTTTAATCATTGACTCTTATTATTCTCATTTGTGTTGTATTGAATTTTATTTGGCTTACTTAGCAGGTCGGGTTAGATGCCATCACAATTAGTTGGATTTTGGGTCTTGTCAGGATTAATATTTAAAAAATACTCAACCTGGAAACTAATTTTTAATTTTTACCCTCCCACGACCACATCAGCATCCAAAGCACGAGGCTATCAAATTACTAAATTCAAGAACAAAATTTTGTGACTTATTTAAACCCTAACTAAAAATTGTTAGAGCCTATCTGGATTAGCTGATTGTAAATAGTTGATAAGCTTGAAGTGTTGAAAAATATTTATAAGTGTTGAAACTGATTAAATAAGCATTTACATGTTTGGATAGAAGTGTTGAAACAACTAATAATAAGCAGTTGATATATTTGGTAAAAAAAGTGCTGATAAGATGTTCTTTTGTTAAAATAACTAAAATACTCTTTAAAACTTTACAAAATATTATAAATTAAAAAGTTTCTTTGTAAAGAAAAGGATGAATAAAGAATACAGAATGAAGAAAGTTAGGAAATTTGTTTTGGGAATATACTTTGTGAATTAAAGATATTATTAAAGATAAACTAGTAAAAGCCTTGGTAAAACTAAAAGTGCTTATAAGCTGAAAAATCATAAGCTGGGGATGATCAACTTATGACTTATGGCTAGTTTTAGCTTATAAGCACTTTGGGTGTTTACCAAATAAGCTGTTACAACTTATTTGGATGGTTGTTATATATCGTTTTATATTATATCATTTTGATATATACAATGTTTGAATATATTATATTATTTACTATCATTTCCCGACATCATGCACCAATAATATAAGGAATAAACTTATAATATTATAAAGAAAAAGTAAGGTACGGGATATAATTATTTTATAAAAAAAGGAGAAATAGTAAAATAAAATTATTTAATAATAAAAATGGTCAAAATGAGAGGAAAAAATAAGCTAATGAGCGACCACACTAAATGTACATTTCATAGAACAGTTAAGTAATAATCAAAATAAATATTGTATTTAAGGTAAAAAGCCAAATAACATTCAACCGCCTTATAAGCTTAGCTTTCCACCCTCTAAATTACGGTAAAACCCCACACTTCACTCTTGCTATCACAATAAAAAATCCACTGAGGTTTCAATTCCAAATCCCAGGAAAACAGCGATGCGCAGCCTAATTGCTCACAAACTTTGGAATGGAATCAGCAGAAGGCCTTTGAATCCAAATAGTAGGAGATGGTACGGGCTAATACCGATGGTGATAGAGCACTCTTCCCGTGGAGAGAGGGCTTATGACATATTCTCAAGGCTGCTCAAAGAGCGCATCATTTGCATCAATGGACCCATTAACGATGATACTTCCCATGTTGTCGTTGCTCAGCTTCTTTTCCTAGAGTCCGAGAATCCATCCAAGCCTATTCACATGTACCTCAATTCTCCCGGTGGCGCCGTCACTGCCGGTTAGTGTTTCTTTTTTTCATTTCTCATCTAAAAACAGGATTTTTGTTTTGTTTTAGTTTATTATATTTTGCATATTTGAAAACTACTCGCTAAAATAGCCCCTGTTGTCGGATGTAATTTTAGAGTGACATACTCTGGCCAATGACTAACTTTAAATAGAGTTCAATTTTCAATATGATGAGAAAAAGAAAAGGTAATAGTGTCAATATATGCACCTAAATGTTGTACATTTTATCCTGTTTGGATTTTGGTAATGTGATTATCAAGGGTGAAATGATTATTAACTAGCTCTCTGTTTCTATGAATAAAGCTTGACAAATACTTTTATTTTGGTGGTTTTGTTTGTCTCTATTTTCTTCACATGATAATAAGTAGGCTTGGCAGTCTGCATTTTGCTGTGTGTGGTGCTTTCAGTTCAATCTATGATAGAAGTTAAGATTATGTTTTTTATCTTTCGGTTAACCTTTATATTTGCTTATCATGATGAGATTTGGTAGCTCATTCTTGGAGTATGCTGATTGTGTCTGAATGTAAACTCAGAACCATGTCATTGTGCAATCGGAACCCTGTCGTAACTTTCTCCTGTTCTTTTGTATAGGTCTTGCTATCTACGATACAATGCAGTACATTCGATCTCCAATTAATACTATATGTCTAGGTCAAGCAGCTTCAATGGCATCCCTTCTCTTAGCTGCTGGTGCCAAGGGTGAGAGACGATCTCTTCCTAATGCTACAATCATGATTCATCAGCCTTCTGGTGGATATAGTGGGCAAGCTAAAGATATGACAATTCACACAAAACAGATTGTTCGGGTATGGGATGCACTGAACCAACTATACTCCAAGCATACGGGACAACCAGTGGAAATAATTCAAAAGAATATGGATAGGGATTATTTCATGACCGCTGAAGAAGCCAAGGAGTTTGGGATAATTGATGAGGTTATTGATCAAAGACCAATGGCTCTGGTAACTGATGCTATCGCTAAAGAGGCCAAAGATAAAAGTTCAAATTAGAATTTGTGGTAAGACTGAAGCTTTTCTTCCCAAAATTGTAAACACGCAGACACACATACACACATGCAACAAGAGAGAGTAAAAGGCTAGAGCCTATAATATTGATTGTAGTTTTCTAGGTAATATTTTGATAAAACATATAAAAATCACCTATCGAAAAGGAAAAAATGCATCTGCTATGTACTTTTATGCTTGTATATCTTTGTGTTTATGCTGTGTGTATAACTGATATATGTGGAAAAGATAATGTTGTCTTTGTAACAATCGCTTAGCAATTCTCAGGTTTACTTACTGGTGTAAGTACTTATGTTATGAGTTAATGTCTCAGTTCTTTGTTTTCTCACTTTTTGACTTTATTAAGTTTATGAAATGCAATATAAGATAGACAAGTAAAAATGAGATGTATACTATGATGATTATAGGTATAAGACGCAAGGTTCTCTTAAGTACATTCTTTAAGCCTAAAATCACTGTTGTGTATTCAGTCTAACAGTACTGAGGGCTACTGCATTTTTGCCTATGCCCTTCAGTTAGTTTTGGACTAATCTTCTGAGCACAAGTCTTAGATAATACTGAAAATCTTAAAAATTGTTCCTTTGAAGACACCCGATAGAAAATTCTTAGAAATTTGCTTAAGTGAATTCTTTTTCCTTCCATTAGAGTCCTTTTCCTTGCTCAGATTTGTCTAAGGGAAAGAATCAGGTTTGAGTTGTCATTCTTTTTCTGCAAGCTAAATGAGAAAAACGCTTTTTGTGCTTATGTTGTATATGTTGAACAGGTAGGTAGCTTTAACAGCTGCATTTCCTTATAAAAAATAAAAGGCTTAATTAATACTTTATCCCTTCAACTTACACGAAAAGTCCCTGTTACACATTTCTCTGCAGGCCTCCTTTTACACACCTCATCTATCATTTTTTCATTGGAGAAACAAGTTAGCAACCCCCAAAAAGTGCATGCAAGGGTTAAAAGTCTTCCAAATTCATGTTCTTTGATATTTTAAAGTGTCTTATTATCTTTTTATCCACTTCTTATATATTTTTCTTTTCCTTTTCTTTATTGTTACTGTTAGAATAGTTATGTAAATAGGAGTAAATAACCCTAATCCAATATGTATTAGGAGTAGGATATGTTGTGTATATATATAGGGCTCATTGTATCGTGTTTCACACAAGTCAATAATATCAATATTATTTTCTCCCGTGCTTTCTCACATGGTATCAGAGCAGCAGTGAGAAAATATCCGGGAAAGTCGCCGTGCTTCAATTCCGGCAACCTTTTTAGGGTTGTTTTCCGTCAAACCAATTTACATCGGTGTTGTGCAAAAACCAACACCACCACAAGGTCCCCCAACCCCCGGCGACCAAACCCCAATAGACACCTCCGCCGACAGACGTCTCACGCGCCTCCACGCGCCGATCAGGCAGTTTTTTTTCCGGCGAGATGTACTCCACGCGCCGGCAAGTGGAGCACTTTCCAGGCAGTTTTTGACTTCGTTCCTTCAGAACAGTTGGCTCGCCCTCAAAATCCGAGCCTATCCATAATTTTATTTTTTAATTCCGACCACTTTGAGTTTTTCCGGCGACCACACTGATTTTTTCCGGCAGATACAATAATTTTCCGTCAAAACCAGTGTTTCCTTCATCTGTTTCAGCGAGTTCTCAGTTGATTCTTTCTGTTATTTGGTGATAATCCAACGATGTCTTTGGGAGTCGATGCTTTCGGGTCTAAAAACCCGGGTTCTGGCAGTTCCGGTGTTATGATTACCTCAGAACCTTTAATGGGAGGTTCAAACTACTTAGCTTGGGCTTCTTTTGTTGAGTTGTGTAAAGGTCAAGGAGTTCAAGATCATTTAACACAAAAGGCTAGCAAAGGTGATGAAAAGGCCAAAACACTATGGGAGAAGGTCGATGCTCAGTTATGTAGTATCCTGTGGCGATCTATTGATTCCAAGTTGATGCCCTTGTTCCGTCCGTTCCAAACATGTTATTTAGTTTGGGAAAAGGCTCGTAATTTATACACTAATGACATATCTCGTTTCTATGATGTAATATCGCGAATGACAAGCTTGAAGAAACAGGAATTGGATATGTCTACTTACTTGGGACAAGTACAGGCAGTCATGGAAGAATTTGAGACGTTGATGCCAGTTTCTGCTAGTATTGAAAAGCAACAAGAGCAACGACAGAGATGTTTCTAGTTCTTACACTCGCTGGACTCCCTACTGACCTTGATTCAGTACGTGACCAGATTTTGGCTAGTCCGACTGTCCCCACAGTTGATGAATTATTCTCTCGATTACTTCGCCTTGCCGCAGCACCAAGTCACCCAGTGAGCTCATCACAGACACTTGACTCATCTGTCCTCGTATCCCAGTCAGTGGACAATCGGGCATCTCATACTATGGAGAATAGACGAGGAGGAGGTCGTTTTGGAAGATCTAGACCCAAGTGCTCTTATTGTCATAAACTTGGACACACTCGTGACGTGTGCTATTCTTTACATGGTCGACCAACCAAAAATGCTTATGTTGCTCAGACTGAGACTACAGGTAACCAGGGATTTTCTTTATCTGAAGGGGAGTATAATGAGTTCCTTCAGTATCGAGCAAGTAAGCAGACATCTCCACAAGTAGCTTCTGTTGCTCAGACTAATACTTCTGTTGCTGGTAATTCTTTTGCTTGTGTTTCCCAGTCTAGTCCTCCTGGACAATGGGTTGTGGACTCAGCCGCTTCTGATCATATCTCTGGTAATAAATCACTTTTGTCAAATATTGCGTATTCACAGTCTCTTCCCACTGTTACTTTAGCCAATGGGTCTCAAACCAAAGCAAAAGGAGTTGGACAAGCGAATCCCCTACCCTCTGTCACTCTAGATTCCGTTCTCTATGTCTCTGGCTGTCCTTTTAATCTTGCATCTGTTAGTCGTTTGACTCGTGCCCTCCATTGTGGTATATATTTTATTGATGATTCTTTTATTATGCAGGACCGCAGTACAGGGCAGACGATTGGAACGGGACTTGAATCAGAAGGGCTTTACTACCTTAACTCCCTAAAATCCTCCAAGGCATGTCTAGTTACAGATCCTCCGGACCTAATTCACAGACGTTTAGGACATCCAAGCTTATCCAAGCTTCAGAAGATGGTGCCTGGTTTGTCTAGTTTATCCACATTAGAGTGTGAGTCATGTCAGCTCGGGAAACATACTCGAGCCTCATATCCTCGTAGTATTGAGAGTCACGCAGAGTCTATTTTTTCTTTAGTTCACTCTGATATATGGGGTCCTAGTAGAGTCAGTTCAACCTTGGGATTTCGTTATTTTGTTAGTTTTATTGATGATCATTCAAGATGTACTTGGATTTTCTTAATGAAAGATCGTTCTGAGTTGTTTTCTATATTCCAGAATTTTTGTGCTGAAATTAAAAATCAATTTGGTGTTTCCATTCGCACTTTTCGCAGTGATAATGCCTTAGAATATTTATCCTCTCAATTTCAGCAGTTTATGATTTCTCAAGGAATTATTCATCAAACCTCTTGTCCTTATACCCCTCAGCAAAATGGGGTTGCAGAGAGAAAGAATAGGCACATCATTGAGACTGCTCGCACACTTCTCATTGAATCTCATGTTCCGCTGCGTTTTTGGGGCGACGCAGTTCTCACAGCTTGTTATTTAGTTAATCGGATGCCTTCCTCTCCCATCCAGAATCAGATACCGTATGCAGTATTGTTTCCCCAGTCACCCGTATACTCTGTTCCCCCTCGTGTTTTTGGGAGCACTTGTTTCGTTCATAACCTAGCCCTTTGGAAAGATAAGTTAGCTCCTCGTGCTCTCAAGTGTGTCTTCCTTGGTTATTCTCGTGTTCAGAAGGGATATCGTTGTTACTCACTTGATCTTCGTAGGTACTTAATGTCCTCTGACGCCACATTTTTTGAGTCTAAACCTTTCTTTACCTCTTCTGACCTTTCTGACCCCCTTGATATATCTGAGGTCTTACCTATACCGACCTTTAAGGAGTTTACTATAGCTCCTCCTTCACCTTCCGCCACAGAAGTCTTACCCGAGTCTCCTATAGCTCCTCCTTCACCTTCCGCTATAGAAGTCTTATCCATTCCAGCCGTTGAGGAGTCTAGTGTGGCTCCTCCTAGACTCCCTGCCACAGGAACACCACTTTTGACATATCATCGTCGTCCGCGCCCAGCATCGGGTCCAGTTGATTCACGTCCTGCACCTGACCCTGCTAATACTGCGGACTTGTCTCCTCTTAATCAACCGATTGCACTTCGGAAAGGTATACGGGCCACCCTTAATCCTAATCCCCATTATGTCGGTTTGAGTTATCATCGTTTGTCATCACCCTATTATGCTTTTCTATCTTCTTTGTCCTCTGTTTCCATCCCTAAGTCTACAGGTGAAGCATTGTCTCATCCAGGATGGCGACAGGCTATGATTGACGAGATGTCTGCTTTACATACGAGTGGTACTTGGGAGCTCGTCCCTCTTCCTTCAGGTAAATCTACTGTTGGTTGTCGTTGGGTGTATGCAGTCAAGGTTGGTCCGGATGGTAAGGTTGATCGTCTTAAGGCTCGTCTTGTTGCCAAAGGATATACTCAGATATTTGGGCTCGATTACAGTGATACCTTCTCTCCCGTGGCTAAGATAGCATTAGTCCGCCTTTTTCTATCCATGGCTGTTGTTTGCCATTGGCCCCTCTATCAGCTGGACATTAAGAATGCTGTTTTACACGGTGATCTTGAGGATGAAGTTTATATGGAGCAACCACCTGGGTTTGTTGCTCGGGGGGAGTCTCGTGGCCTTGTATGTCGCTTGCGCCGGTCACTTTATGGTCTAAAGCAGTCTCCCCGAGCCTGGTTTGGTAAGTTAAGCATAGTTATCCAGGAATTTGGCATGATTCGGAGTGAAGCTGATCACTCTGTATTCTATCGGCATTCTACTTCGAGTCTTTGTATTTATCTGGTGGTCTATGTTGACGACATTGTTATTACCGGCAATG